GCCTTCCTCACTCTGCAAAGATAAAAGGCAAGGTGATCCTAGCAACCTGGGAGGTTGAGGTAGGAGAATAATTAGTTTGAGGCCAGCCTAGACAACTCAGCAAGGCCCTGTCTTAAAAAAAAAAGAGACTAGCTGGGCACGCTTATAATCCCAGCGGCTCAGGAGGTTGAGGCAGGAGGATCACAAGCTCAAAGCCAGCTCAGCAAAAGTGAGGCGCTGAGCAACTCAGTAAGACTCTCTCTCTAAATAAAATACAAAATAGGGCTGGGGATGAGGCTTTAGTAGCCATGGCCTGGCCTCCCACTGCCTAACTGGGCAAGAGAGTTAGAAAAATAAAACCAAGTTGATACACAGGCAATTTAATGACGGAAAAGAGAAATACAAATTGCAAACAACATTTGGAAAAAACCCACCAACTCCCAAATAAGCAGAGACCAGTAAATTACCAGTGAGCCCTTTTCCCAAATAGGGCTGGCGGATTAAAACAACTGGCCCTGGACTGGGGAAGGGGAAAGATAGGAACTTTCCTGCATCATATCAGCAGGAGAAGCAGTCAGTAGGACCCGCTCAGTGGCACTCTGCTGTCTCCTCAAGAGCCAACTCAAGCAGTACCCATGGGGCCAACAGCTCCTTACAGCAACCTTCCCTTCAGATGCACTTGTCAAAGAGACTGAGGAACACACAAAGGCACTTACTGCACTGAAAAAAACTTGGAAACAACCCAAATATCAATCAATAAGGTGATGGGTAAACAAGGATATGACCACATAATGGAAATAGTCAAAGCTTTTAAAAGGAAGAAAATCTATATTATGGGCCTAGGAAAGGCAGCCTAGATATTAAAAAGTAAAGAGAGAAAATTGCAGTATGTGGGCTGGGGCTATGGCTCAGTAGTAGAGCGCTTGCCTCGCAGCACAGGTGAGGAGGCACAGGGTTTGATCCTCAGCACCACATATAAATAAATAAATAGATAGATAGATAGAAAGATATTGTGTCCATCTACAGCTAAAAATATTTTTAAAAAAGAAAATTTGCAGCATGTTATATTCAGCATAATCTCATTTTCATAAAAACATTTACACATCCTAACATAAACAACACATACACATATTAGTATATGAATCAAAAAAAACCTAAAGGTCCCACCAAAGTTACCAATGGTCTTATCTAGGAGATGTGATATAAAGGATTTCCATTTTCTAAGTTACATATTACGGGTTTTTTACTTTTGGGGGGCATTCCCCCCCCCCCGGAAAATCCCAGCCCTTTTTTGCATTTTACTTAGAGACGGGGTCTTATTTAATTGCTTAGAGCCTCGCTAAGTTGCTGAGGCTGGCTCTGAACTCACAATCCTCCTGCTTCAGCCTCCTGAGCCACTGGGATTACAAGCATGCACCACTGTGCCTGGCCTATAAATTATTTTTAAAAACAAGCATACAGCACTTTTGTAATCCGAAAAAAAGCCACAATTTTAAATAGAAATTTGTATTTTCAGAGGTTAGGGGAAGGAAAACAGGGGAGCACAATGTGCCAAACCAGAGGCACACCTCACACTAAGCCACAGAACACCCTCTGCTTTGGGACATTGAGAAACATGAGCTGCAAATCCTCATTCAGAATTCCAAAATCCAAAGATCTCTGGAAACCCAAAGATTTTTTGTTTTTTTAAATGAGTTTACCATAAGCTCATTTGGAACAAAACTTAAGGAGATATGAGGACACTTACAGGCTTTGTATGGCCCACTTGGTGAGGGGATTCATACATTTTGTGGAAATAACCATTTGGTTTGGGGTGCAGCTTTCTTAAACATGAGAAACTGAATGCCAAAGCACAGCTTGCAGCAGGATTGGTGAGGGGATGCAGGCCCAGACCCACAACTGGAGAGGGCAGTGAGCTGCTGGCGCTTCCTTCAGAGACGCGGCCCTTGAGAAGAGGGCTACCACTCAACACAGCACGAATCCCCCTTCTAAGATCCAGCTGCAAGTACCTGCATGAAGGGACGGGGAACTAGGAAGGTTCTGGAACATGTGACATTTGGGGGAATAGACCCTGCCTGGAGAGGCCCTGAGGAAAGGAAAAGTGCCAGGAGATTTGGAGACCTGAGGGGGAAAGACAGAGAACCCAAGAGCAAGAAGACAAGCCTCGCAGCCTCTGCCTAACTCAAGTCAAACCAGGGCCCCAGGAAAAGACCAGCTCTTCCTCCTCCCACCTGTCCTGTAAGCTTGTTTCCCAGAGCCCCAAACTGAGGCCCCCACAATTAGCAAATTGCTACTTTAAGTATGATGCCAAATAAAAAGTTTTGTAGGCTAAGCTGGTAACCCAGGTTACTACGGAAAATGTGTTCCACCTTCAACCAACCAACTTGCAAGCCATCTTTGGGAATTGAGTCTTTGTAGACTTTCTCGGCAAGAAATAGCCCTCCTGGCTGTTTCACAGGGAGGAAGGAACCTGGCCCCATCTCCACCGGCAAAGGCTACCTTTAGCAGAAGCAATGAAAGGCACCACTGGTGCAACACCCGGACCCTAAATTTAAAACACAAGCTTTCTGTGGGCACAGTGGCACACACCTGTAATCCAGCAGCTTGGGAGACTGAGGCAGGAAGATTGAGAGTTCAAAGCCAGCCTCAGCCCTTTAACAAGTCTCTAAGCAACTCGGCGAGAACCTGTCTCTAAATAAAATATTAGAAAAGGGTGGGGATGTGGATCAGTGGTTAAGTGCCCCTGGGTTCAGTCCCCAGTACCAAAAAACAAGAGACTTAAAGACGTGTGATGAATGAGGGATCTCTCTCCAGGCCCTGAATGAAAGAGGACAAAGGGGACGGTGAATCCCCTATGACCTCAAGAGTACAAGATGGCAAGCAACATCTAGGGTTTTTAGAGATGTTCCTAAAAAGCCCCCAGGAGCATAGTGGATTATCATCCAGCATTTGGGAACAGGTCTACATGTTCAACTTGTCCAAGTTTGAGAAGCTTATCAGCATCAGCGTTCACTGACTACCCACCATGTCCCATGCTTTGCTCAGTCTTTTGACTGAACACACATAACTCCCTAAAGAAAGCACAGTATCCTCATTTTAACAGACAACTGAGGCTCACAGAGACTGTGGCTTGCCAGGCCAGAGCCAGGACTATGTGATTCCAAACTCCCAAGTTTTCACCCCCTGCACTAGGCAGAAATTCTTTCCACTTGATCCAGAAACTCCTGAGCCATCCTGTCTAAGTCCACAGGTTCTCTTCCCCCACCATCTTCAGAGACACATGAATCTCACTGACAATTCTGGTTGCTTCATGTCTCATATCTCCTGCTGTCATGCCCAGAAAACCCGGAGTGATATCTCATATCTCCAGCTGTCATCGATAGATGACCAAAAAGAATATCTCAGCTCCTAATGCCATCACCAGAACTTATAAGGGCACATGCCCACAGAGGGTTTGTATAAATTAATGTCTTTTTTGAATTTCCTAACAGACAAACCAGCACTCTGCTCATCTATTTGGGGGAGCAGAGAGGATGCCTCCTCTGATTTTCAAAATTTCTTCCTGAGACCTTCCCAGGGACCAAAAACATGTGTGGCAGGACATACAGAATATCAAATGCCTTCAGAACATTAGTTGTGTTTGGACTACCTATTTGCTTCTGTTAGACTTCTAAGTTACCTATGGCCTGTCCTTCTCAGTTCAGAGTAGAGTCAGCCAACAGCCTTCTCCAGGTGAGGGATGGACAGAAGGGCCTTCCCTAGAGCGGTCCCTCATCTCCATCCCAGTTATTTGAGATTAACTAAAAAGAGGCCAAGGTGTAAATAAAAGTTACAGTAGGTGACGCCAGAGACTCTCATCTCCTGGCACAACCAGCCTTTTTAAATTAGTGGTCTAGACACCGAGGGCAGTTTCTCTCAATAAATTCCCAGCCACTGAAACCCCAGTGCCCTGCCTCCAAGGAGAGAGGGAAGGAGGACAAGAGACGGCAGGGCGCGGGGAGGCTGAGACGCGGCAGGCAGGCCCAGGCCCATCCGAACAGGGCCCCATAAAGAAAGCGGGGAAGACCGCCTCCGCTGGCCCCGCGCTGCGTCCCGGGCTCCGCGTCCCGGTTGTGCCGCACCCGCGCCCCTGGGGACACCCAACTCCTGTGTCCCCTGAGCCCCCGACTCCCGGCCTCTCTGGCTCCCCAAATCCTGTCCCCCTGGGTCCCGACCTCGTCCTGCTGGTACCCCCGACTCCGGTCTCCGCCGGGTGCACCCCGGCTTTCGCGCCCCGCTTCCCCGCCTCCCGGGCCCGTCGCCACACCCCGGCGGCCCCGGCCTACCTGGCGGCGGCTGCCGCTCGCCCTCAGCCATCTTCTCCCGCCAGCGGCCGGCCGGCGCCCGCGGTGCCCCCTAGCTTGGCACGCCGCACCTGCCCTCCGCTGCGCGGGCTCCGAGGTCCGGAAGAGGAGCGAGCGCCGGGCGGCTACAGCCGAAAGCCGAGAACTGCAGTCACCGCTGCGCCGACAGCCGCCATGCCGGTGCGGGGCGCGCGGGGAGCATGCCCACTAATGGCCGGCTCGCGGCGTCCGCGCCGGAGGGGGCGGCGGCCATGTCCGTGCGGGGCGCCACGGAGCATGCGCGCCAACGGCCGCCAACGGCCAACCGCCGCGGCGAGCGCGGCCGGCAGCCATGTCTCTGAGGGGCGGCGGGCGGCAGCCATGTCTCTGCGGGGCGAGCCCGCCGGCCATCTTGGTGCGTGAGGCCGCGCCGAGCCCGAATACCCCGGAGGACAGGACTCCGTCGACATGGCTGCGCCTCCCTGCCACGCGCGAGCGGCTCCTCGGGACGCCAGGCGGTCGTGGGGAAGCGCACCGCCGACCCCGCCCGTCCGCCCCGCGCTCGGAGTGCCGCCGGCCGCCCGCCCGCCCGCGTCTGGGCCCGACCGCTAGCTGCGCCCGCCCCGCCCCGCCGCTCGCGGCCGGCCAGCCCGGGGCCGCGGCCGCCCGAGGCCCCGCCCGAGAGCCCTCCTCCCGGGCCGCCAGCCCGCCGCGGGCCCGGTGGGTGGGCGCGGGGCCGCCTTCACCGCGGGCGGCGGCTACGCGGCGACCTTGGCCCCGGAGCCCTAGCGGGGACCCACACTGCCCGCTGCGGAGCGGACTTTGCCTAGCGCTGGGGGCGGAGCGCACCGAGTGTCGGTGCCCGCACCGCAGAGATGTTAGCCTTCGCCGCCAGGACCGTGGTGAGTGCGGCCGCGCCCGGCCCGTAGGGCCCGGCACCGGGCGGGAGGCCGGGCGGTGTCGGCTGGGCCGAGGAGGAAGCGGAGGGGCAAGGGCAGAGGCGGGAGCGAACCCGCGTCCCGGGCGCGCAGTGACAGCCACCTGCAAAAGTCGGCGGAGACCTTGGCTTCAGGCAGCACCCTGAGACCTGGAGCCAAGCTGGGAGGGACCGGGAACGTGCAGCCCCGCATTCGCTCCCCCGTTTACGGTGACTGGCACCTGTCGCAGGAGCTCAGACTGAGCCGCCCTTGCGCAGGCCTGAGTCACTTCTCCAGTTCTACAGTTGTCTCCTTGTGTGTATCACATGCCCCCTCCCTCGGGATTTGTGTGTAGCTAGACAAACTCGTTGGAGGAATGAAGCTGAGCTGCACACGAAGTCCTTGGAACTGGTAGGGGACAGCAAGTGGCAGTCCAATGCCCTTTCTCCCCACCAGCCCACTTCCCCAATCTGTCCACAGCCACCCTATTCTCCCCGGAAGGCAGCCCAGATATTGCTATCCTGATATGGATTCCTTCCCTTTTTGGGGGTGCCAGGGTGGTGGTGGGTACTGGGGATTGAACTCAGGGGCACTCGACCACTGAGCCACATCCTCAGCCCTATTTTGTGTTTTATTTAGAGAGAGGGTCTCACCCAGTTGCTTAGAGCTGCCCTTTGCTGAGGCTGGCTTTGAACTCCCGGTTCCTCCTGTCTCAGCCTCCCCAGCTGCTGGGCTTATAGGCATGTGCTGGCTGGGTTCCTTTCCTTTTTGATCCAAGCATTTCTCTGCTTGGTTCTTTCCCAGACAGACACTCCAGGCCAGTGGCTGAAGATACACATTGGAACTCAGACTTAAAGAGACTCTTCAAGGTGTTCCAGCACCTGAGTCTCCACCTCACCATTTCCATTGCAAGAAATCTGTGCTTTGTCCCACACAGGGCCTCTAGGTCATCCTCCATACTGACCTGATCACTCTACTGCTGGGGAAACTGAGGCAAGGGGGGACTTGGCCAGTCCCCCTGGATCTGTTGATTCAAATTTGCCCTAATTCCAAAGCCAGTGTCATTTTGTTTATTTTTTAATATATTTTTTAGTTGTGGTTGGACACAATATCTTTACTTCATTTATTCATTTTTATGTGGTGCTGATGATCGAACCCAGCGCCTCCCAAGTGCTAGGCAAGTGCTTTACCGTTGAGCCACATCCCCAGCCCATTTTGTTTATTTTAAATAACAAAAGCTCTCTACTTTCCACCCCCAGCAGAACCAGCCACAGTGAGGAAGAAACACCAGACATTGGTAGAGGGGTGGTGCAGAAGGGTCTCATTAGTCCAGGAGAGAAATGGGATGGATGGGGCTCTTGGCAGCCACTACTCACTGGTGACTGGTGTCTCTCACTTGCATCAACCCCAATTTCACTACTGATTTCAGAGCTACTGTGACTCAGTAGCCCGGCAGTTTCTGCCCTCCAGCCAAGTTTTCCCCCATCAAAAAGATCTACATAGATTTTGACAGGTGGATTTTTAAATACCTCTTGGCCTGCCTCCCTGGCACTGGGCCCATCCTAAGAAGAAAGGAAAAATACTTGAATATTTACTGCTACTCCATTGCCCACCACCGGCAGCCCATTCACCTGCTCCCCATTCCTCCACTTGAGGAAGCTGGGGAGGGTGGAGCAGCTGCTTCAGTCTGGCAGCTTTACCCGTCAGTGTCTCAATCCCAGATGCCACCATAGCCATCACCATTACCATCTTGCGTCTCCCCTGAATCTTGGCTCTTGTCTTTTTTTCCAGCCCGGGCAGGTGGCTGCCTCTTGGTAGGTTCTGCTCACCCACTTGGTAGCACAGTTAGGCTTAGAGATCCAGCCAAGGCAGACAGACAGGGCTCAGAACCTCAGTCTTGCCATGGAAGACGGGCAGCAGAGAGAAAAGGTATGGAATGGAGCTTCTGCCGCTTGCCTGCCACCAGCCAGCAGCCTGGGACCCTCCTGTCTCTCTTTCTGCCACCTGCAGAGTCTCCTGGATTCCTCTGTGTATCTTTCTCACATTTTTTTTTACCACCTCTCACCTTCCACGCCAGGCCACTCAGCTCTCGCCACTGCACTGCCCTTATATCCCCTACTCCCACCCCACAGGCAGGAGAAATCCTGAGGCCAAGGCCTCACCCAGGGGTGCTCTCAATGTCTGGCTCTCTAATTTTCTTCTCCCTTCTATTTCTCAACCTGGAAAGGGTGGGAAAAAGGAAGATGGGAACCACAGAGAGGGGGCTGTCAGCTCTCTGCTACTGATTCATCTTCACAGAGCAAGAAGGCAGGGCCTGTGCATCCAGACAGCAGGGAGGCCCTTCACCTCTACCATTCCAACAGCACCTTTCATCCTGACTGGGGTCCCTGGAGCCTTGCCAGGATCAATGGCCACACCCACCCTCCTCCATCCCTGCGTGTAGCTGCAGGCCCCTGGGAGGTGGGGACACCTGTAGCTCAAGGGTTGGGAGACCAGGGCAGGCACCACCCATGAGGCCATCTCTGCCTTCAGGGGTGGTCACATAAGCACCTACCTAGGACTGCAACTTTGGGAGATTCAGGTGCTTAGAGCCTGCAAGAGAATAAGCAGGTCTTCTGCTGCCCACAGGTGAAGCCCCTGGGCCTCCTCAGGCCCTCGTCCCTGACGAAGGTTTCCAGCCGCTTCAAGACACACCAAGATGCACTGCCGAGGCTGCCTGTGCCCCCACTTCAGCAGTCCCTGGACCATTACCTCAAGGCACTGCAGCCCATTGTGAGTGAGGAGGAGTGGGCCCAAACCAAGCAGCTGGTGGATGAGTTTCAGACCTCCGGGGGTGTAGGGGAACGCCTTCAGAAGGGACTGGAACGCAGGGCCAAGAAAACCGAGAACTGGGTAAGTGCGATGGTAGGCTGCACTGGTCCCCAGCTCCTAGAGCTCTGGGTCCTCCTGAGCACCCCTCACTGTGGCCTCTTGCCAGCAACACACCCAGAGTCTTCACTTATTTGCAATGTAGAGTTTGCTGAGCCCTTACCTGGGCCTGACACTAGCAGGTGCTGAGTGGGCAAGAAAGACCTGGTAACCAGCCTCTAAGATCTGATACTGACAAAGTACAGAGAGGAGGGAAAGGTGGTAAACAGGTTGCAGGTCAGTGGGTGAGGTCATTTCAGGCAGGGAAATTCCATGGAAATAAAAGAAGGTGGTGAGGGCTGGCATATGGCTCAGTGGGAGAGCCCTTGCCTGGCATGCCTGAGGCCCTGGGTTCCAAAAGCACTACAAAAGAAAGATGATGATGCAAGTGTGGCCTGATGAATGGCAGCATCTTCATATTGGGTGAGCAGGGAGAGCCATAGGAAGAGGAACTGCTCTAAGACTAGGGCAGAGGTGACAACAGCCTGGGACAGAGCCTGGAGTGGAGTGAAGAGCAGGGCAAGTCAAGTAGAAGGAACATGGACTTGAGCTCAGTGGGATAGTCTTGGACAGGAAATGTGCCTGCCAGGGGTCAGTTGTCCTGTTCTGCAGCTGCACTGTCATGTGTGTTGATGAGGCACATGTCTGTACTGGTGCCTGTGCCTTCCTCTTTATTATTCTTTTTTTTTTAATTTTATTTACATTTTAGTTTTCGGCAGACACAACATCTTTGTTTGTCTGTGGTGCTGAGGATCGAACCCAGGCCGCACCCATGCCAGGGGAGCGCGCTACCGCTTGAGCCACATCCCCAGCCCCTATATTGTTCTTATACTTCAACATAAAGATAGAGAAGGTGATCCCAGCTGCTGGGAGGGAGGCAAGCTTGAGAGCAGAGGCAGTGGGAGGCTGGCACTTGCCCCCAGGGAGATGCTGGTGGCCTCAGCCTGGCATTGCAGGGAGAAGGGGGAGTCATGAGGCCCAGGATGGTTTGGATGGCAGTATCCCTGGCACTTAACTGATGGGTGGGGGTGCAGTCCCAATCCTGAGCAGCTAGGGGCAGGAATGGATACGACCAAGGGAGAAGCTGATTGGGACAGAACCAGTGCTGGATTCTGTTCCTGTGAAGTACAGCTGTCCTTCAGTATCCATAGGGGATCCACTCCAGGACCCTGTGCATACCAAAATCTGAGGATACTCAAGTCCTTTATAGGAAAGGGCATAGTATTTGCATAGGACCAGTGAAGGTTCTCCTGGGTATTATACGTCACCTCTAGATAACTTACAACACCAAATACAATGTAAATGTTATGTAAACGTTGTTACACTGTGTAGCTTAGGGAATAAAGGCAAGAAAACAAGTCTGTACTTGTTCAGTACAAACATAGGTTTTTCTTCAAATATTCTCCATACTGAGGTGTTGGATCTGTGAACATAACCAGCAGATTCAGAGGGCCAACTGCACTGTGAGGTGGGAGGTATAGAAACTGGCCCAGGGATCATCAGAGGTGAGAGGCAGGTGGGAGTTGGTTCGGGGCAGCATTTACTGAGGCTTGGCAGGTCAAGGCCTTGGATTCTAGAGTCAGGGTTTGGCCCTGGTAGGACCTTGGAGGGTCTGGAGTCCACTGGTTCTCCAGTTGTGTTAGCCAGGGACTCCTTCAACCCAAAGCTTCTGGCTCAAGGAATAGGGCCTGTACACTCAGAGCTCCTGAAGCAGTTTTGATGCCACCTAACAGGATCTCACAGGGCCATACCAGTAGGTTTTCCTGTCTCCCAAGGTGCAGCCCAAGGCTCTGAGATCCCTGGGAGAGTGCAGACCCCTGACTGTGAGGGAGCTTCTATCTGTCCCTCCCTGTACATAAAGCACACCAAGGCCCAGAGAGGTAGACCAAAGCCCAGAGCCTCACAGCAGCTCTCAGGAGGCACTGTGCTACACAGGAAGACCTGCGTGACTCAGGAGTCCAGTCCTTAGGCTGTGAGTCAGCGACAGCAGTCACCCAGTATTCATCCTAAGGCAAGTCACCTCCCCTTTCCCTCTTGCCAAGGATCCAAGGCAAGTGGCCTGGTGCCATAGGCCATCAGTTCCTCAAGGGGAGTAAGTGTTGAGGAAGTACCTCCTGATGCTGCTTGGAATGGGACAAGGGTGCACAGGGAGTGGCCTGGGTCTCCAGGGTCTGAGGGATCTGCAGAGAGGTGCACAGTGGTGGGGGCAGTGTGTGCTGGAGAGGGGTTGTAATCAGCACAGAATTCTCAGGGACACCTTGGACAGTCACCTAGGAGTGTCCACATCATCAAGATAGCCTTTAATATCATGCCCATGGCCAGTCCCCAGAGAGACCCCCGACACCCCCAGGGCAGAGGATAGATCTTAAGGACGTGTCATCCATATCTTGTCACTAGCACAGTAATTACCCTTCCTCTCTGGTCAAGGTTGCTCTGACCTTGAGATCAAAGTTTATTTTCTGGTCTGACACCAAGAAAACTGAGGCTACTGAGGAGGACAGGACCTGTGAGCTGTCCTGACACCAAATCCCTGTCTCCTTAGGAAACCTCTCAGCTGGGGATGGTCAAACACTCATTCACTGAGCCAGGTGTGATGGGACACACCTAAAATCCCAGCTACTTAGGAAGCTGAGTCAGGAGGATCACAATTTTGAGACCAGCCTTGGCAACTCAGTGAGAACCTGTCTCAGAATAAAATTTTAATAAAGGGCTGGGGATGCAGCTCAGTGGGAGAGTGCTCGCACAGTATGTCAGAGGCCCTGGGTTCAATCTCAGCTCCACACACACACCAAAAAAAAATCATTTACCTTCCTGCCACCCTACCACCCCAGGTTTCCTTCCTGGCAGTGCTAATTGCCCAGGCTAAGGGGAAGATGGTAGGTTTAAGGAGGTGTGGAGGGTTTCTGAACCTCAGCATTCACTTGGAAAATCTGGGCTGCAGATATGGGGCAGAGGGCATGGGGCCAGCCAGGTCCCTGGCCCTGGGGAGAAAGGGTATCAGGTGCCCATGCCCCTCTCCTAACCAGACTCTGGTCCTCGTCCAGCTGTCTGAGTGGTGGCTCAAAACAGCCTATCTCCAGTTCCGCCAGCCTGTGGTCATCTACTCCAGCCCTGGAGTTGTGCTGCCCAAGCAGGACTTTGTGGATCTGCAGGGTCAGCTCCGGTGAGTGGCAGGGGCTGGGGTGGGGCAAGGACGTAGCAGCAGGGCTGTGCAGTTTTTAGCACCAAGTCTAAGCCCCAGGAGATTGGAAGGACCCAACCCTGATCTTGTATCCCTACAAACAGACTTGTGAAGTGGGGAGCATCCTCCCTATTCTACAGATAGGGAAACTGAGGCTCAGAGCAGTAAAGGGACTTGCCCAAGACCACTAATCAGGATAGGAGGCAGGGCCTCCAGGGTCAGAGATTCAAACCTGGGACTGAGTCCACTCCTTCCCAATCTCCTGAGCTGGCCACAGGGGTGACCTTTGTACACAGTCCCCTTTTCCACGTTCCAGTCCTTACCAGAGATAAAAATACCAGCAATAGGGATCTCCTGCTCAAGAGCCAGCCACTCGATGCTGCCACCTGCTTCTTTTAAAGGGCCAGGGTGAGACAGGAGGGTGTGGCCCTGTGCAGAGCACTTGCCTCACATACTCAGGGCTCTGGGTTTCAATCTCCACATCACAATGGACCAAAGCACTTGGGGAAGGGCTGGAACTCAGGCCCAGGAACCCTAGCCAGTGGTGCGCATGTTGAGGCCACCGCAGGCCCCAGGTATAGGGACTGGTTGGTGTGGGCTAGGAAACCCCTCTTCATAAGCCCAGATGACCCAGGGAGGAAGGCCAAGTTGAGACCAGTGGCCCAGGGAGGACACAGAGTCTCAGAGAGGGGAAGGGACCTAGCAGAGGGGACACTATGAGCCGCTGCCCTTTCCTCCACACACACATCCTCAGGTCCCTCCATGCCTGATACTTCACAGCATATGTCCTCTCCTGGCCCCAGCCTGTGGTTCAGGACCTCAGACCCTTGGTGGGTGGACCTGATGCCACTAACCATTAATGTGCTGCCATTGATTAGCACCTAAGTCCTGTCAGACCGTAGGCCACCAACCTTCCCTGAGCCCTGCTGGTGGCCCTCCTCTAGAGAGTGAGGAAGAAAGCTCTCAGAAGAGCCTCTCGTGGAGGGGCTCAGAGATCCCTGCCTGAGCCCCCAGTTTTCTGTAAGCAGTGGGGGAGGTGGGGAGAGGGAATCGGTAGGTTACCTTGGCTAGGCCTCCCCCTCCCCCACCAGGTGATCTTGCCCCAATCCGACGTGTCCTGGGCCTCCCTCAGTGTCCACACAGTTTCACATCTCTAACCAATCCCTCCAGGTTCGCTGCCAAACTAATCGAGGGTGTGTTGGACTTCAAGGCCATGATTGACAAGTGAGCAGCTCTACCCCGACCCTGTCCCACTCCTGCTCAGGCCTGCCTGAGCCTGTGGCACCCCTCACCCAATGTGTCAGCTTGGGTGCTAGGCAGGCCCAGAGGCCAGTCATTTTCACTTCCTGTTGACCCAGCCTCGGTGGGGGCTAGAGACTGCACATTCTGGGGATTAGAATGTTTAGGTCCTCCTCACTCCAGCCACTGGGACCACCGGGTAACCTTGCCCCATCCCAGAAAGAGGACCCCAGAGATTGACTTGCTGCCTCATATCTCCTGTGGCAAACCAAAGCCCAGAAAGCGGGAGGGAGGGAATTTCCAGATGACTCATAAATGGGACCCTTGGGCAGGAGTAATACAGACCTCCTGACCCCTGCCCAGCTCTGATGGCCCCTGTTCATGCTGAGGGTGAGTAGGGATGCAGGGGTTCCTGGCCCTGTGTAAGCTCCCACTTGGCTGGCCCAGCCCCTAGCAGATTCCTGTCCACCTTGGCCGCCTCCCTGTTTACTTGCCCAGTGACCCCTCAATGTTCCCCTTCCCCCACAGTGAGACCCTGCCTGTGGAGTATCTGGGGGGAAAGCCACTGTGCATGAACCAGTACTATCAGATCCTGTCCTCCTGCCGAGTGCCGGGCCCCAAGCAGGACTCAGTTGTCAACTTCTTAAAGACCAAGAAGCCACCCATGCACATCACTGTGGTGCACAACTACCAGGTGGGTGTCCCTGCCACAGCCCTGCCCTGCAGCAGGAGGCAGCTTCCCAACACAGATGCTCACCAGCCCCGGAACTCCATGCCCTGGCCAGGAGGGACTGTGGGCCTGCCCAGCCTGGGGAGAGCAATCTGAGGATCTCCTTCCTTTCTTCCCCTGAGCCTGACTCCATCCTCTCAGCTGGGCCCTGGGACAGCACTGACTGTGACCTCCAAGCTGCCAAAAGGAGGCTGGGGGGTGGGTCAGGACGGTTCTTGCTCGAAATCCCCCAGCCCCTGCCTCTGCCTGCACAGTTCTTTGAGTTGGACGTGTACCACAGCGACGGAACACCCCTCACCTCGGATCAGATCTTTGTGCAGCTGGAGAAGATCTGGAACTCATCTCTGCAAGCCAATAAGGAGCCCGTGGGCATCCTCACATCCAACCATCGCAACACATGGGCCAAAGCCTACAATACCCTCATCAAAGGTGCCTCCAGGGTGGGGCCCACACTGAGGCCATACTTCAGGGCCTCTTTGCACAGTGAGCAGGGCCAGCACCAGGCTGGGGCAGCCACATGTCTCACTGGATCCTCTCAAATCAGAGTGTCGTTGGTCACTTTTATAGATGAGGAAACTGAGGCTTGGTTTGGTTAGGCTGGTTTCTCTCTGTTAAGTAACGGGTTGGGATCAGAGTCCAAGTCTTCTGCTGCAGAGCCTGCCTCTATCCCCGTAGGTCCCCCTAAGGCTCCAAATCCATATTGGTCAAGGCATCATCATAGAGCCAGACCACCCACTCTGGATCCTTGATGCAACATTAGTCCCCTGGTGTGACCCTGGGCTTCCACTTCCAGTGTCCACAGTGGTCAGGTGTTTGGCCCTGCCCTCCAGGGAGGGTACAGGGGAAGACTGAAGTGCCTTGTTGGGGGTGAAGTTCCAAATATGCACCCAGCACTCAGTGAATGTCCTGGAATCCCCCAATGCAGGGAGCTGCCCACCCCCAAAGGGGTGCAAACAGGCCAGAAGATCTCCAGGCAGGAAACCATAGGTCATGGGACTCAGCCCTGTCTCCCCACCCCCACTTCCCCCTTCCACTACCCACAGACAAGGTGAACCGGGAGTCCGTGCGCTCCATCCAGAGGAGCATCTTCACCGTGTGCCTGGACAGGCCTGTGCCCAGGGTCTCAGAAGATGTCTACCGCAACCATGTGGCTGGCCAAATGCTGCACGGAGGCGGCAGCAAGCTCAACAGTGGCAACCGCTGGTTTGACAAGACACTGCAGGTGAGGACTTGGCAGGGCCATGATCCCCAGACACCTACCCAAAGCTGGTCCACTGTGGCCTAGGGACTTCCTGCCCCTCTGGACCTGGCGTCCCTAGCCTCCCACTTATAAAGCAGAGAGGAAGCCAGCAGGCTGGATGCCATGCCACCATAATTACCAGGCAGCCAACCTGTCATTATTAGACCTGCACACCACTGTCAGCCCCAGAACAGTGGTTGGGCTCATCAGAGATCCTGGAATCTGGGGGGTCAGGCAGGCAGGCGGTACAGGCTTGGGCACAACTTTTCCTCCCTGTGCCTTTAACATGGTGGGGGCAGAATTCTCCGGGGCGGGGGGGGCTTTCTAGGCTTGGCTGAGCTGTGCTGAGCATGAGATGGGCTTCGGACAGCCTGGGCTGGCAGAGCCAGGGTACCCTACGAGTGTTAGTTGTCATTAATAACAGAAACAGCACAACCCCTTGAGATGACTTCAGAGAGGCCCTTCCCATGAGACCTACCTGGAGTGACTGGGTCAGGAACCACCCTCCTGACCTGGGCCTGACAGAGTCCCTTCTCCCCCCACAGTTCATTGTGGCAGAAGATGGCTCCTGTGGCCTGGTTTATGAGCATGCAGCAGCGGAGGGACCACCCATTGTTGCCCTTCTGGACCATGTTATCGAGTACACGTGAGTAAGGTCACACTCTGGTTTCCCAGTTCCTGGTGTAGGAACTTTGAGGATTGTTACTCTCCTTTTCACCTGGGAATCTACTTCAAAGGGAGCAGGCAGAGGACATGGTTCTTAGAGCCAGTTGGAACTCTGGCTCCCGACTTCCTGCTGTGTGGCCTTGGACAAGTCCCTTGCGTCCCTACATTTAGCAGCGTGGAAGCTGGTGCAAAGGCAGTTTTCTGAAGAGCAAATTTGAGTGTCCCTGAACTCGTCCCCCATCTTCAGGGACCCAACCGCTCTACCCCAGTCCCAGGGACACACTCAGGCTCTGGGGCACCAGCATGAGCCTGAGCCCCCAATGTCCCATGCAGGAAGAAGCCAGAGCTCGTGCGGTCCCCCATGGTACCTCTGCCCATGCCCAGGAAGTTGCGGTTCAATATCACCCCTGAGATCAAGAACGACATTGAGAAGGCCAAGCAGAACCTTGGCATGTAGGTCTTGCAGGGGCAAGGCCAACAAGCCTTCAAGCCCAAGGCTCCATGCAGGCCTGTCCCGGCACCTGTCCCTGTGCTCTGGGTCCCTCCCTGGGGTTGGCAGGGGCTACTGGGTACCTGCTTCTCACCTGTTCCTCCTGTGTCCCCCTTCCAAGAATGATCCAGGACCTGGACATCACAGTGATGGTGTTCCACCACTTTGGAAAGGACTTCCCCAAGTCAGAGAAGCTGAGCCCTGATGCCTTCATCCAGATGGCCCTACAGCTGGCCTACTACAGGTGTGCTACCTCCTATTTGCGAAGAAAGGAGAGATCTGGGAACGGGGTGCAACCTTTCAGGGTGGGCTTAGCAATGTCTCGCACCCAGGATCTACGGGCAGGCGTGTGCCACATATGAAAGTGCCTCCCTGCGCATGTTTCACCTGGGACGCACTGACACCATCCGCTCAGCCTCTATGGACTCACTGGCCTTCGTCAAGGCTATTGATGACTCCAGTGTGACGGTGAGAGATCTAGCAAGGGCCGGTGAGCTGGACTCGAGCCATCTCCTTTCCTGTTCATTCTGCCATCACACATGGATTGCGCATGTGTGTTCTTCCAGCCCTATGGTGGGCAATGGGAATCCAACAGAAGATGAAGCATCGATTTAGTTCTGAGCTTTCTGATAGTCAGAGGGAAAAGGGAGCCATCCCTATGTTGGGGCCTTGGGGGCTGGGGACTGAAGAGATAGCAGTACTCGGCTCTGAAGGAGCTGGGAACGTAGTGCTGGGTAGAGAGTGGGCTACGAAGTAGAGGAGAAAGAGGAAAGGGACAGTGCTTCAGCTCTCCCTGACCTTCACACCCACCAGGAATATCAGAAGGTGGAGCTACTGCGGAAGGCTGTGCAAGCCCACCGAGCCTACACTGACAGGGTGAGTGAGCCCAGTGTATCACCGCTTATTGTCCCTTAACATCCCCCACCTGTCTGTCCATCTTTCTTCTCATCCCTGCATTACATGGCTGCTAACCTTTCACTAGAAGCACTCGTTCCCTGAGCTCTGGAACACCCAGAGCAATAGCCCCATTTTGAAGCTGGGGAATCTAAGGGGGACCTGGTAACTGCCCTCATCCCAGTTCCAGAGTTAGCTCGGGCCCCTGGGTATTGTGGGATGCTGAGGGTGTCCGTGGTTCAGCAACGATGCGTTTCCTGCTTTCCAGTAGCTTGGGCTACAGCCAGGGAGCTAATGGTCTAGGTGCCCATCCTAGCTGTGGCACCTGTTTGTGCCATACACTGCTCACATCACATGCAGCTGTCATCTAGATCTTACTGCTTTCTGCCACAGATGGAAGACACTGAGGCTCCAGAACCTAAGGGTTTGTCAAGGTCCCACAGCCTGGACGGGGCTGAGCTGCCCACTTCCAGGGCTCATGCTTTTAAATCCCACATTGTCCTGCCTCCTGGCCAGATCTCTGTCCCTCCCTGGGACTTAATTTCCTCATCTGGAAATTTCCTCTCCTGCCTTGATCCTTGATACTTTGATGTCTTGGTTCCCAAGGACTAGTGGCTGGAAGGGGCAGTGCTACCGTAGCCCTCTCCTGCTCCTGGCCCTCACCTGCTCCTGACAGCTCCTTCCCCACAGGCCATCCGTGGAGAAGCCTTTGACCGGCACCTGCTGGGCCTGAAGCTGCAGGCCATTGAGGACCTAGTGAGCATGCCTGACATCTTCATGGACACCTCCTATGCCATCGCCATGCACTTCAACCTCTCCACCAGCCAGGTGGGCCACTGCCAAAGCCTCGAGTCCCCAAGGAGGTGGGGACAGGGGCAACACTGCAGCCTAGGCAGGCTGAGGTAGTGTCAGAGCTCCTTAAGAAAACTGGCTTCCTTCACTCACTGGTCAGATAGAAATACCTGATCTGGGTCAATCTGTGCTAGATGCTGGACTAGCAGGGGACAGACCACCATGCCTGCTCCCCTCTATGGGAAGTGCTGGGGGTCGGGAGGGCAAAGGAGGGAGCAGCTACAATCCCCCACACCCCAGGAAATGCCTAGGAAGGCTCCCTAGAGGAGATGACTGCACCCTGGAGGACGAGAGGGAGTCCCCCTCTGCTGGAGATAAGGAGAGGGTGTCTGCAGCAGAGCAGGGTGGGAGCAGACAGAAGAGAAGACAGGCTAGTGCCTCCTCACGATTGGAGGCAAACCATGGACCAGGGATGAGAGCTTTGATCCACTGTCCCCAGGTCCCTGCCAAGACAGACTGCGTCATGTTCTTTGGGCCTGTGGTCCCCGATGGCTACGGCATCTGCTATAACCCCATGGAGGCCCATATCAACTTCTCTGTGTCTGCCTACAACAGCTGTGCTGAGACCAACGCTGCCCGCATGGCACACTACCTGGAGAGGGCACTCCTGGACATGCGTACCCTACTTCAGAACCACCCCCGGGCCAAACTCTGAGCCTTGTGCTCAGGCCTGCTAGTGCCATAGCCAATCCCATCTGGGGATAGCCACCCTCCAGGGCTCAATTCCTTTGCTTCCTCTGCCCTTGGCCCCAGGCTCTGAACACATCTTCTTGGGGGTCCTACAGGCTCAAGCAAGTACCTTCTCTGAGCTGGGGCTCAGTTCAGAACTGAGCAGGACCTAAGGCCCAGGCCTCCAGCGAATCATCCCCTGGAGAAGGGACCCAGTCTAGCCCAGCACTTACCATACTAGGAGACTAGAAAGAGCTCCGTTTCTTTCCTAGCTCAGCTCTGGCTAGTCCTTGCCATCTCCATAGCCAGGTCAGGGTCTGTACTCTGAACTCCAAGCTCTCAAGGACCTGAAGACAAAGGATGATCTGGAGCTGAGGAGCCAGGGAGCAAGATTTCCGGGTCAAGGGGACCCCCTGAGGTACCATCAACAACACGGTTGCTATGGTCTTTTTGGATAAGGTGACTCATGAGCCCTGGCCCTCTTGCTTCCATGCAGCATGGTCCCTGAACCACTTCACAGTTGTAAAACACGAGCACACCAGGTAATTAATTAATAAAGGGAAAATGTGCTGGCAAAGAGGTCTTTCAGCTGAGGGGAAAGGAGGGGGACAGGTGCCTTCTTCCACCTGTCCTTGTCTGGAAAATGGTGTCCCAAAAGGGTCCCCAGAGGAGTCCTTGGGTTCAGGGAGCTAAGGGCCAGCTGGGACCTTAGGTGCTGAGCCAAGAATGGTGCCACACCCAGGGCCATATTCTTCATCAACTCTCCACCCACTTGTCCTGGCTTGGGCCTTCCCAAGTCCCATGAGCTGAGTGGCACCATGAGGCCCTGGTCTGATGGGCGGGGTGGGGTGGCCAACACCCAGGGTCCATAGGCTGGTCCAGCTGCCCTCCATGGAGCCCAGCAGGACTGGTAGCAGATCAGGCATGCTCGCCCCAGCCCTCACTGCTGCCAGGGCAAACACCTGCTGGGGGTACACCGCGGAAGCAGCCACCTGCCAGCACCATGTACTTGCCCTCAACCCCGTACACCTAGTAGAAGTGGAGCATCTTGTCAGGGTCAAGTGGGCACATATGGAATGCCAGGAGCAGGTGCACTGGGGCTAGGAGGGCAGCAACATGTGAGGCACTTCATGGCCCAACCAACCTGCGACCATCACTGAGGGTGTGGCCCATGGTTTTCCATTTTTCAGATGAGGAAACAAGCTCAGAGTTAAGGTTACCAGGACACTAAGTAGCAGAACAGAAATTCCAAGAGAGCACACTCATTTCCTTCAGGTCAGAGCCTGAGGAACAGGTGTGGCTAAGCCCCCAGCCCCGCAGCATATCCACCCAGGGCAGGGGATGGAGATGAAGGTGGCTATTGGTGGAAACTGGATTTCAAGCAGGAGAGGGCAGTACAGGAAGGAACTGGTACACCAGGCACTGATCCAGCCTTGAGGCCCTTAAGGTCTGACCAAATCTTTCCTTCACCTGTGAAGATGGACACTCATTGTGGCCTTCTTTTCTCCTTTCCTGATAAGGCTAGATAGATGCCACTTGCCCAAAGCCCCACGGAACAAGAGATGGACCCCAGACCATAGGCTCCATGGTGATTTAAAGCAGTATTTAATAATTAGCTGGGGCACAGTGGCACGTGCCTGTAATCCCACTGGCTAGGAAGGCTGAGACAGGGAGGATCACAAGTTTGGGGCAAGCCTCAGCAACTTAGCAAGGTCATAAGCAACTTAGAAAACCTGTCTCAAAAAACAAAAAGGGCTGTGGAAGTAGCTTAGTGGTAAAGCACCCCTGGGTTAAATGCCCGATACCAAAAAAAAAAAGTAAGTTGATAACTAATTTTAAATCTACAAGGCTCCTGGGTCACCACTAATCTGAAGTTGGCTTAATTGAATGTCAAGGTTCAGTGGCCCCAGGGGACCTCACAGGCCTTAACACCCATTTGATTAGGGGTAACTTTTGATTCCTCCTCCCATGAGGGTGTAGCTGTTCTGCATCTCAGGGCCATCCTTGGGTCCCTCTCTTATTAGGCCTTTAAAAACCTAGTTCAGGGGCTGGAGTTGTGGCTTAGAGGTAGAGCACTTGCCTGGCATGTGTGAGGCAATGGGCTCGATCCTCAGCACCATATAAAAATAAAAGGTATGTGTGCATCTACAGCCAAAATTAAAAAAAAAAAAAAAAAAAAATACCCAGTTCAGTGTGCAGTTACTTCTGCAAAAGCAAGATTTTCATCCATCCATGCACCCAGAAATTTGGAATGAAAGAAGTGGAGGAGACGTTCCTCTTGCCTTAGGAAAGGCAGGCCCTGTTCCCCAGTCTTACAAGCTGCCCCATGAAGATGGAACCCAACTTGCTGAGAGCAGGCCAGAGCCAGCCAGCATGAGGCAGGAAGGGAGAATAAGACTGAGAAACTGATGGTCCCCAAGGCTGAGAGCTGCAGCTTAGGCAGGATGTGGGACCACAGAGAGGATGGAGCCAGAGGTTGGAAGGCCCTGGTGGGAAATGCAAAGGCCTTCAAACCCCTGCCTTGGGGCCTAGGGTGCAGCGCCCGGGTGAGGCACTCACCTGGCACCTGTGAGGCCCCTGGCTCCCTGTCCAGCATTAGTGGAGGGACTAGTTATCTCAAGATGCTTATGATTTCCTTGTCCTAAGGGTCACATGTCACCACAGCCACCCCCAGCCGCCTCACATAAGCTGTCACATGCTCAAGCCGCCATAGTTTAAGATTTTATTTTAAAACAATAGTAAACAATTTTGTTGATTTTTCTTAAACCACCTTACACTTGGCTTGTCTCAGGCAAAAAGTAAAAAATAAAAATACTAAGGGAAGGGGAGGGAAACATGGGGACTGACCTACCTCCCTAGAAACCAGCCCTGGTCCTGGCATCTGGAATGGCTTTGGACACTGCCTTTAACAAATGAATAAAGAAAGCACCGAAAACTTGTGCTTCAGCAGCAGATTAGGACCCTCCACTGAGAAAAGGGTGGGGGGAAACACAGGTCCTCAGGGGCCTGGGTCAGCTCTGGAAACTTCTGGGAGTCTGGAAGCCTCTCCTCCATGAGTGTTGCAGAGTGACTCAAGAGATGGTCCCTAGGAAGAGCCCTCGTCCAAGCTGGGCATATGGGGATCTGTGAGCTCACACCTGGACAGATTTCCCCGCCTGCTGGGTGAGGTGGGAAGGACAAGGACATCTTCAGAGCATATAGAGAAGGGCAGGGGATCAGGCACTGGCTGCCAGACTCCTCTTGTCGTGGCTCCTGGTTCCTTTGTTCGAGGGATGAAGACTGACTGGTGCTGGGTGGCAGACACGGAGCTGTAAACAGCTTTACGTGCAGGCTCCTTTGTCATCTTGGGAACAGGAGACCAGAGAAAGCCCTTGTGGTGTCAGGTTGATACGGAAGAACACAATGATAGCAGCCGCCAGACGCGTGCTTGCTCTGGGCCCTGCCCCCAAACGAAACACTGACGAGGTTCTGGAATGGCAATGGTGGCAGGGAGGGCACAGGGGACACTCCCTTCTCCTGGCCCCCAGCCCCTCAGGTCCAGGAAGAGGCAGTCTGCCCCTGGCTCAGAGCAAAAGGCCTGGGCCCCTCTGTACTCAGGACAACCACTGCAACGTGGACTCTCTAGGTCCCATCTCCAAACTCCCATCTGCCTTTGACAAAAAATCAAAAAATAAATAGTGTGCACTTTTCACGTCCCCTGGAATCTCTGGCCCAAGACTAGAGATGCAAGCCCTCATCCCCTTCCCCACACCCTGGTGCCACGTCAGGGGCACCTTCTGCCCAGCTGGGGGCTGGCAGCAGCAGAGTAAATGTCTCTGGCCATTTGGCCCCCAGGCAGCAGGCCTTCCAGGGTCCTAGTTGAGGGGCTGGCTCAGCCCTTTGGTCCACCTTGTCCATTAAAATTAAAATAAGAAAAAAAAAAAAAAAGGCTCCACTTGGTGACTCAGGTCTGTAGAGGTCTCTGCTTCAGCCCTCTGTCAGTCATTCTGTCCATCCTGCAAGGCATCATGCAGGCCAGATCTGGAGGCTGGACCCAGCCCTACCCACCAGTCACTGCAGTTTCGTCCCCAGCTTGCGCTGTCTGTTCCTGAAAAATAGGATAGGGTCAGATGTGGGGACACCTGGTGTTCAGTGGTATCCCCTCCCCACTCAAAGTTCCAATGAAATGGACAAATGCCCATACAGCAGCTGCAGTGACTACCCAAGCTGTACCAATCAGAGCCCCTGCCCTGGGGCTGGAACATGGACAGGGTCAGTCTCTGCTGGACTGTATCATGATACCTCCTCAACTTTGGAGCCCAGGAAGAGGGCCAGGAGATGGGCAGGGCAGAGACCTGGACAAGAGGGACCTGGCTGATTCCAATTAATCATGGAGCACTCCCCTTACATACAGGTCAGCCCAAGCAGTTCAGTTATCACCAAAATGGAATTACAAAGCAGCAGCTCAGGACTGGGGTTATAGCTTAGTTGGTAGAGTGCTTGCCTCACATGTACAAGGCCCTGGGTTCAATCCCAACACCATCACCACCAAAAAAAAAAAAAAAAAAAAAGCAGCCCTATATCTGGAAATATGTAAGCAAAGCAGACTGCAGAGTTTGGAACTGCTGACATCCTGGTTGGGAATGTGCCTATATCCATATGAGCTCAGGAACTTAATCAAAGCAGGGAATTGCCCCTATTTTCTAAAGCAGCTGACTGAGGCTCAAGAAGAACAGGGCTCATCTAGGACCCAGGTTAAAATCCACAAACCTAACCATGGCCCACGAGGCACAATACGACGTGGCCCCAGCCTTTCCTGTTCCCTGGGCTCCTATGACATCTGCCTCTCTGCTGAGCACCTCAGCAAACTTTTCTGCCTCAGAAGCTTTGTGTATGCTGCTCCCTCTGCTGAGAGCCCCCACTTCTGGCCCTAACAGGACCACTGTTCCTTCTCCTAGGAGGCGGTCCTGGGCGGTCACGCAGCAGGTTAAGTTCCTGTTGCAAACCCTCAAACCTCTGGGTCTGGCTCCCTGGCACGGACCTCACCTCACGGACAGGCTCTTCATTCCACACATCTCCCTGCAGCTGTGAGTGCCCCCAGGGTGGAACCCTGGCTCACTGCACCCAACCTCACAGCCTGGCACAGAGCAGGTCCATGTGGAGGACAGGCAAATGAAGGCAGGTGGCAGCCAGCCAGCCAGCCAGGACGGGCAAGGCAGCACCACTCTGGGAGCCAGGTAAGAGCACAGCAAGGGTGGCTGGGGCCTTTCTGCTGTTAATGGGATTGCCCAGCCCTAACTCCTTTAAATCCCCTTGTCTCTTGGAGCTGAGGCTTTACAGTTAAGCTTGTTAGGATAATTTGGACCTTAATATACTAAACACATTTCCTAGCTGCTGGGACACCCCTCCCTGCCCCACCTCTTCGTTCCTCTCACTCCTCTTTGGAAAACATCCTCTGGAGCCCAGCCTGCTTCAGCTCCTCTCTGAACCGTGAGAGGAGCCAGTAGACATCCCACCCAAGATCTGGGGTGAGCTGAGTGGAAGAGTGTGAGTCAGGAGCATCCAAAGCCCAGCACTGCCCCGACATGCTCTGCACCT